TATGATGTTGTGTTGAATAATCAGATGAAAACATATTTTAATTTTGAAACCCAATTCAAGAAGATGTGTTTAAAACAAAAAACACATGTACAATCAAAAACATGTTTTTTTTTTGTACTTTTTTATTTTAAGAAACAATTTATTTTCACATAAGATGGTTTTAATTTGTTTTTAGACCCGAAAACAAGAAAAGCAATTCAGAACGCCCCCTAAGCTATGCTCTCGATGATTCCTTCTTATGGAGTCCATGAGGGTCTTCATTGTATTGTCTACCAGGCATTCAATGATGATCTTTGAGTTGCCTCTACTACCTGCTCCAGCTGATATATTATATTCTTCCTTTCTAATCTCTGGCTATGCATCCCAAGGCACAACCACCATATCTCCCCATTTAGTGGAAGAGCATCAAAATTGATTTTAATAATACCTTGTTTGGGAGGGGATCACTTTACCCTCTTTCTAGGAGGAATTTTTTTTTTTGGCTTCAAAATTATCAGTCATGGCTTTCCTTGCTTTTTCTACTACTATTGTTGGATTTTTTTCTATGTTTTGAAAGACATTTACTGTTCCAAATATACCAGAATACAAAGCAAAATTTTTCCAAGAATCTTGGCCAACCCTTGTGGATTCTTAAATCTTCCTGTGTTCAACCATTCAAGAACTATTCCCCTATCTATCCCCATTGGGTTTTGATTTTTTAATGGTTTCTTCTACTATCGTCCTGGTTGGCTTTGGGATCAGACAATGCTTTAGAACGTGATTCACATTTTCCACTTCTCCACACAGAAATGATAGTCCGGGTGCAGTCCCCCCATTATTGATATAACAAACCACAAAGAATTTTAATATCGGAGGAAGAGGAATAACAAGTTTCCTTTTTTTTTCTCCATACAGATTTTTCAATTCACGGTGATCAATTTACCTATCAACAAGCTGGAGAATATGAAGTCCATTTCACCACCCAACTCACTACCTATAAAAAAACCCTTGACTTCATGCTTTTTAAAAACGACCCAGAGACCGAACAGGAAAGCGGTTCGGTTACGGGGTTGAATGGTCGGCCCATTCTAGCAAAAAATTAAATAAACAAAAAATGGTCAAAACCGTTCGAATAGTTAATCGCCCAGGTCAGTGATTTGCTGATCAAAACCAACGGTTTTAGGCAAATTTTTTATTTTGGGGAAAACCGAAACCGATCACCTGGCCGGTTCCCAGTTTTCCGTTCCAACCGTCCGGTTCGGTCCAGTTTTGAAAACCATGCTTGACTTAGCGAATAATCTGGTTTATTGTACGTGTTACAAACCACTTGACCCAATCATCAGTCATGGGTTTTCTACATTTTTAATTCCCTTTTTCTTCTATTTTTTGTATATTTTTAACAGTAGATATAATGAATGTATAATGGTAGATATATGCCTTTTTTTGTAAATTTTCTTAATTTTTTATATATTTTATTTTATTTTATTTTATATTTTTATTTTTCAATTATGACATCATGGGTTGATCATTTTGATCCAGATGATTGAATCTCTGACATACCAGACAGAAAATCTATTCCATTTTAGAGTTGGTTTTAAAATAATAATTTAATCAATCCTGAAAAAGAAAAGTTTTAAAAGGATTAGATCAACCAGTTTTAACTCTCAAATTATGAATGTCAATAAATGGTTTAGCTCAACCAAAGTACAGTCCTAAGGCACCTAAGCCCGACCAAAGCCAACTAAATTAAGGGTATCAATGGACCAGTTTTTTATTGGACCCCATCCAGTCCAAAATCAATTTGGACTGGATAGGATGGATCAACAAAATATATTGGATTGTACCAATTCGGTTCAAACCATTTATTAGATTGGATTGGACCTGGTTCGTCCATAATAAATTTATATTGGATTTGGTTGAATTAAGCTAATATTTAATCCATCGATATAAGATAAGAATATGGGTGTCAATGGACCAGGTTTGGGTTGAAACCTATCTAAATCAAAATGAATTTGAACAGATTGGATGGTCCAGACATTGAATTGGAACGGTCCAAAATGGTCCAAAATATTCATTGGACTGGATTGGACCTAGTCCATTTATAATGGACTCACATTAGACTGGATCAGATTGGACCAAATCCAGTCCAATTGACACTTGTAAACCAAATGAAATAAGGCTGCATTTGGCATTCCTTATTTTAAGGACTTATCTCCTTTTTGTAGCTAAAATGACTCTATGAACACTAAGTTTTTAAGGGCAAAAAGAAGAAGAATCCTTAAAATAAGGAATGCCAAATGCAGCCTAGGAAATACAAAAATATGGGGTCTCAATCAAATCGGACCTTACCCATGAACAATCCCTGTTCTTAGTAAATCTATACATAACATTCTCAATATATAACTATATCACCTATCATAGAAATTTATATGTATCATTGTGAATATCTATCATTTGGTGTATACTCGTATTATGATCCACCAAGGTTTTTAAGACCGAATAGGACAATGAATCGGCCAAGGGTCCATTTCTTGGATCGAATGGTTTGATCGTTCGAACCAAATAGACAGACCGTTCTAGCAAAAAAATAAAAAAAAAACCGTTGAACGGCTTAAACAGTTCAAATACCTGAATCAGCCGTTTGTTGATGGTTTTTGACAAAATAACGGTTATAGGGTAAAATAAAACCGATCACCTAACCAATTCCCAGTTTTTTCGGTCCGACCGTCCAATCCAATCGGTTTGAAAACCATGTCATCCACACAATTTTAGGTTTCACTTAAAGGGAAAGAAAACGTGGTTAGAGAGGATTTATTAAGTTATGTGGCACACTGCCACCAAATTATGGGCTATTTTGGATTAGATAGAAAATAAGAGAAGCAAAAAGTTGAGGAGAAATTCTTATTCAATTCTGTGAAATTTATTAAGAAATAGGATGTATTTGGTTTGTAAAAAATGGGGTGTTATTCACCCCATTTAAGAAACTATTGTTGGGTATTTACTAAGAAACTGAGAGAAGTGGAAAACTGATGCTAAACAAAACCCTTTTGTGGCCGAGAATACCATTACTGAATGGACCCATCCTTTGAATTCCGTGCTTCCATTATAAATTATAGAAGGAGAATCTCTTTATCATCATCATCAATATTCAAACCTTATTTCGCCACTCCATTCAATATCCATTGTATAGCTCCAAAAATTATAGTGTTAACTTGAATGGTTGCATTTAATGTTATTTGATTATATCGACTTCTTCAATTTATATCTAATAATATGCATTAAACATACTTATATTCATTGCTCATTAAACGACCCGGCTAGCAGATCCGCTCCCTACTCCCCACTTGTTAAATTGTAAGGTGAATTGAATTTCTGGATACCAAACGTGAGGTATTTTGAACCAGAGAAACGGGAGGGAGATGAGGACAAAGAGGCCGTAGATGCCTCTCAGTCACAACTCACAAGCCAATACTGGAATCTGAAATGTCCACTGCATGTGAGAGAAGCGGCTCAGTCGCATGTGGAGGGGAGCAGGATGCAGGAACCTTTTTCATTTATTACCTACTTATCCTCTTTTCTTTTCTTTTATTTGATGATTTGATCAAATAAAGCATCCGAAAAATTCTATTTCTATCTCCTCTTCTCTTTAATTTTTTCACTTTTATTACTCCCAGTAGCGTAGCGGAGTAGCGAGTGAAGATATTAATTATATTATTTTTTTAATACATAAATTGTTGAAATATTGAACCACCTGACCGCACACACATGGCGATTTGACACGTGGCAACACATTTAGGCAGGCATAAATAGATGATACTCGTCAATTTTGAGCAACGGCTGGAGACAGCCGTGGCTCGGAAACGGAAAATTCGACTATCGTCCAGGATTTGTTTACAAACTCATCTTTGACCATATCGCATCATAGCTGTCTGATCCCCATCACCCTATTTACTCATGTGTCAGCTCCAAAATCGGACGTTTGAAATAGAAGGAGCTGCGACACACGTGGATCGTGTAACACTGCTTCATTGTAATAACTTGCAGAAAACGGTTACTCCTAGATCCGGCAATCGGATTGGGTGGATCGGGTTCGGGTTGGGTCGAGGTATTTCGGGTTGAATTTTGGGTTAGGTTGTTAAATGTTAGATCTTAATCCTAAATGTTCGGGTTAGGATTGACCCATGGGTCAATTCGGGTCATTCTAAAAAATAATTAAATTTTAAAAAATAAAAAATTATTATATGAAAAATGTCAAAATTAAAAAAAAATTAACTTTAAAATTTCAAATATAAAATAAAAACTTAAACATTTAACAATTTAAAGAATAAACAATAAAATGTAAAGATTAAATAAAAAAATTAAAGAATGAAAATTTCTAATAATACATAAATAATCCTAGTTAGACTTGACAATCGGATCACCGGGTTGATCCATGACCCAACCCAACTCAGTTTTTCGAATCGGATCTTTTTCACATTCGAATTGCCAAATATGAGACCCTAACCCTATTTTTTCGGGTTGGGACAACTTTTTGCCAGGTCTAGTTTCTCCTATCGTGTTAAGCCTTCTTCCGCCGCTTAAAAAAGCATGTTTCCCGTCTTCTGCCTACCGAAATAACAAGAACAGTTAGGGGTGTTTTCCGTCTTTAAAAAATTTTAGCGGCCGGTACGATTCCCCCATACACGATTACTTTTCTATTTACGATTTCTCGCGATATATGATATGATTGATGATAAATAGCAATTCATTTTCACGCTAGTCGAGATGGCACATCCCATTTTGATAAATAATAATTCAAACTTTTCTATATTGAAAAGACAAAAATACCACTGCTGTTAGTTACAAGGAAAAGCTAAAAGCCTAAAACTAAAATACGGGGGTATTTTCAATTTTTCTTGTTAATTGATGGAATATTCGATGTTTCTAATTTCTTCTCGCCTTGTCTCAAATTGTCGCGATTCATACGATATTTTCTCTTCATCCTCTTCCCTCCGTCACTCTTCATTCTCTCTCTTCCTTCGCTTTGGGACCTATATAAATGAACTCGAACGCCTCCATCGTTCATGCAATTCAAGTTCAAATAAACGAGGGATAGGCCCTCAAAGATCGGAGTTCCTGAGACTCAGAGGAAACCCACTCCACCTCCCTTTATTTATTTATTTTTGTTATTCTTCTTGTTTCTACTCTTTCTCTTCTGTGCATCAATGGCGTTCAGGAAAACCCTAGCTCACCGTCTTTTCAATATAACCAAAATCTCCTCCCCTAATCTAACCCTGACACATGCCCCCGCCTCTTCTCCGTCGTTTGAATACGTGATCCCTGCCAACCCCGCCAAAACCTTCCGCCGAGATTTTTTCAGCTATCCGGATTCCGGTGAAAATGGCTTCTTCCGGAGATTTCTTCAGAAAAGAGCGATAGTTCAATCGGCAATGTCGCCAGAGTTCCTGTCTTTGCCAATCGGAGACAAGTTAATGGAGAAGCTGAGAGGAATGACCGTTAACAAGGACCGTCTTCGATTAGACGGCTTGGCTCCTCCGGCCACGAGGTCCGACTCTCGACAAGGAATTTCAATCGAAGACGCGCGAAAACTGCTCGTGTTTTCTCAGTTGGAAAAGTTGAAATCGAAATTGAGACGGATTCCCGATAGTAGTATTCCGTATTCGGAGTTTATTCAGATCTGCATAGAAGGTTGCTCGAGTCCCGATCAGGGACGGGATTTTGCAAAGATGTTGGATCAATCTGGAGTCGTTATTGTCCTGGGAGACTCTGTCTTCCTCCGGCCAGAAGAGGTAAAATTGTTTTCATCTTTACTTTTTCTTCCACCTTCTCTTTGTTCAATTAGATTTTCTCACAGGCTTGAGATCATGAACCTTTACACCAGAAAAGAAACCTCAACTCAAGACGCAATTTTGTTTTTGTTATTTTTGTCTTCTTAAACTACCGACTACCGAGTTCTGATATTCTTTTTATTATTTTTTCATGTCTTCTTTTCCACAGGAAACCCTACTTCGCCAGATCTAAAAACGTGTACAAAGGTTACATGTTTGAGACCTTAACCTTAGGTCAAAAGAACAAGAAAACTCTCACTTCTTTTGACAAGATGGATTTCTCATTGGTAACCTTTTTAGAGTAAATTGACAGACTACTCTAATCTAATATTTTTACCAAAATTTTCATCTTCAACTATTGCCTCTCCATATATTACGCGATTGGTTCCATGACTGATAATATTGGCCCACATTCTTCTCTGGCTTCCGATGAAAAAAGAAATTTAAAAAAAAAAAAAAAAAAAACAAAGCAGTTTGAAAAACTACTGTAATAGAACCGACCCCAAGATATCAAATGCACGTTCCTGGACGGACACATGACATGAGGTCCTAAGCTAACTGATAACTCCCAAAAGAAGTCCGTCCTTTGTCCCAATGATGGGCCCCGGGTCCCTTGTTACTTTTGTCCTGGGCCGTTAATGGATCTAAGGACTAGAAGTATCAAATGCTCGTACTCTACAGTTACCCAAATTTTGTTTTTCCGCATTTTTTTGTTACAGGTAGCAAAAATGATCGAGAGCGTAATTCCTATATCGATAGCTCACCGGAACAACCCAAGAAGAAAGGAACTTGAACAGATGGAGAAGGAGAAGATGCAGATCGATGAAAAAGCAGAAATGCTGGTTCGGAGAGAACTGTGGGCTGGGCTGGGCTTTCTCATAGTCCAGACAGCTGGGTTCATGAGGCTCACTTTTTGGGAGCTCTCCTGGGACGTAATGGAGCCCATTTGTTTCTATGTCACGTCAATATACTTTATGCTGGGCTATGCCTTCTTTCTCAAGACATCGAGAGACCCTTCTTTCGAAGGATTCTTTGAGAGCCGTTTCAGCGCGAAGCAACAGCGGCTTATGAGAAACAAAAACTTTGACATGCAAAGGTTTAACGAGCTCAGGAGAGCCTGTTATCCTTCGTCGACATTGTCTTCAGAGCGGGCTTCATCGTTTGACAATTCCGAAAGGACGTTGTTGGGTTCTTTCCATCATTAATACAAGGGAAAATATATATTATATTTTGAGAGAGAGAATTAAAAACTGAAGATATACTATAGAATACATACAAAAAGAATTTTGCTGTTTTTAAATTTTTTTTATCAGATTTTTGTGAAAGATAGGTGAATATTACAGATTTGCCTGAGAGAAATGGTTATTTTCCCACAGCACACATCCTAATCCCTGTATTGGGAAAAAATGCTTAATCGTGATATTGTGATTTACTTTCTTCACTTCTTCGTATGGTTTTTGGCATGACACAAGTTACAAAACAGGGGATAACCCGTCCTCCATACCCATATAAGTCCCCCCAATTCGGGTGAAGATGGGAATCGGATCCCAGTTTCTCCTCACAGACATGACCAACCAGTTGGCATGGCACCTTCCTTAGTTGTGAATTGTGATGCTGTGAGTAGATTAATTAAGAGATTACATGCAAAAAGTAGATGAATTATGGGGTTACCTTTAACTAGAATGGCTTAATTGAGACTAGTAGAGAGGCGAACTAGATGTTTTGTTTCGCAGGACTGCGTAATATGGTACAAAAGAAAGAACAGAAGCGAGACGCTTTGCTTCGGCAGTGGATTATTTGACACTCAAAATCATTAAGTGAAGTTTCAAGCTTTGGTGCCTTGGACCTTGGTGGAGCCACTGTATTGTATTTGTATCATCATACGCTCGTGAACGGTGGCAGGCAAAGATGGAGGGTCTTGAAATACTGAGGACAAAAATGAGAACGATGGGATGATGACGTTTCACCTGATCCCTTCTTGATTTCAGTAGCTTTTTAGCCCTTGTTAAACTCTTTTCCACCCTTCAAATAAATAAATTAAAAAAACACACACACACAAAGAGAAAGAAAAAGAACCCCCTAAATTAAATTTCTCCATTGACAACTTCAGATAAGGCATTACATAAAAGTATTAAACACTCCCAGATGTAAAGGATGCTAGCGGTTCAAGTTTCTTTCCTTCTTGCACTGAATACAAGTACATCATACATATACACCAAATCATTCGGTCCACTTTTTGTACTATACCAAGGGAATTTGGGTCAAGGGAATCTGGGTCATTCCCTTGGTGTAGTATGGACTTTTGTACTGATATAGAAAAAAATTGCACACTTGCACCACTAGCATTTATCTTCTAGGTACAAATTATTTTCCCCAAGTGAAGATGTTCTTTTCAAAAAGAGAGATTAAAAGAGGCTACTATATAATTCTTTTGTGGAATGAGGTTTGCATTTGCAGGTCAAGAAAGGTGCTTCCCTTCATAACCTAATTTATCTCCACTAAAACTAGGGTCCACGGGCCATCCATCAAGTAGGACACATTTTGGCTTGGTTAGGTTAAATCTCCAACCCCAGTATTCACCTCAGCCCTGAAAAATTAAAAGCATCTACACATTAAAAGGAATGGGACATATTTGGTCAGAATCTCCAAGCTGGGATTTCTATTTTATGGGCTTTTAAATTCATTTGGGTTATGTTTGGTTGTGTCAGCATTTATTGAAAAAATGATTGCTATCACATTAACATCACTTAGGCATTGATGTTTAATGTATATGAAATCATTATTTGGTTTCAACATTTATCAAATAAATATTTAAAAATATAAATCTTTGGATTTATGGGCATGAATCCAAGGAACTTCAAATTCTAGTTTCTCCCAAGGTCCCAATATTTACTAGAACAGTAACCAAAAATAAGCTTTTTTTCTCAATAAAGATTGGATATTTAGATTACATAATTTTAACAATTCAAAAGGATCGACATAGGTAGGTTGGCTTGGGTTGCAAACCATGTACATATCATAAATGCATGTGAGCGGTTGATAGATGGGTTGATCTTCAACCCACATCCAACCCTTCCAATCCATTCATTTGCCAACCCTACCTTAAACAAAGAGCCTTTAACTGTAATGTTTTGTGTAAATAAAGGCAATTATTATGATGCTTATATTTTGGTTACCATTATTATGATATCAATTGATTGGTTATATTAGCCTTTATGGCAATATGCCTATTTGGTATCATAATCTGAAGTGTAAGTAAATTAATCATGAGATGGGAGGACTTTTCTTTCTTGGTACAAGTTTAGACCCTCTTCAATCTTTACAGATAGAAGATTTATCTCAAATTGGTGATGTCATTGAATCCCCAAAGAGAGTGCCCCATATGCACACCACAGCATATTCCAACCGTGCATTGAGAACATCTCAGAGTGCATTGGGCACATCTCCCCAAGGAATGTGCTGTGGGAGCCTATCTAGCTACTCAAATTGAGTATATATTTTTTGAAGCCACAAATTGGGCATATATTTCCTCGGCTAATAGTGAAATGCGTATTTCTTTTCCAAGAAGCCTATATACAAGCCAAAATATAATCTTTTGGAAATTCAAGGAAAGCCAAAAGCCTATATACGAATGATCAATCGTGATCAACTATTTAATCCTAGGGAAAGTTAAATCTATCGCTCTTAACTAGGGCTGTAAATGGACCAAAATCGAATAGAATTAGGTAATATCTGAATTCGAATTCGATTAAATATTTGAATATTCGATTCGATCCAAATTTGATTAATTAATTATTTTAGATAATTAATAAATATATAAAATAAATATTTTATTGATATAAAGTATATAAATTATTTATGTAACTTAATTATTATATACATATATATATTATAAAATATTTTATATATTATATATAAGAATTAAATAATCGGCCAAATACAGATATTTATCAAATCGAATCAAATCATATCTTAATTCGAATCCGATTAACTATTCGGTATGAATATGATATCCAAATTCGACCGATTAAATATTCGAATTTGATTCGATTATGTCGAATATCGAATTTAAAATCGGATTTTCGAATAACATTGACACCCCTGCTCTTAACATGCAAAGTATATTTTATCACTGTCTTAGAAAAGGCAATAGCTGTCCAAACTATCATGTCAATATGAGGATTAATGAAGACAGGTTTGGCACGTTTGAAGGTAGTTCTTGCCTTCCAAGAATGTTCTCTAGAGGATTGCATGGGAATACTCACTCTTCATATTGGTCGATTGTCTGTTGTTTTGTGTTTGTTTGTTTGTAATGTTTATTTATTTATTTTTTGTTGGGCAGGGTTGAATGTGCGAGAGAGAGCTCTTTGTACTCTTTGGGTTTGGGGCAAGGCCGGCTATGTCCTCCCCTGAATTAAAATTTATACTCTTTTAGGTGGCCAACTCTCATCCTAAATTAATATTTATGAAACCTGTCCCACGTGCAGTCATTAGGGCTGGCACCAAGCAAATAGACCTGTTCACGGGCTCAACTTTACACTGTCTCAGGCTCGGATTTTAGGCCGAGCGTATTAGAATTTTGAAAAAAAACAAACCCAAACCCGACTATAAACGGATCTACATGCAAAGTGATATATAACTAATTGAGATTGTGAATAGGGAGTAGTTCTGATTTTTGAACACAGAACCATCTCAATATCTAGCTCCACTTATTACACTTGTTGGTTGGAGTCGTGTAACACATTATATCTAATTATAAAGCACCTAATAATAATTTTACAAACTGAATTAAGCTATCAAGTTCACTGAATTTTTTTTCTTCATGGAGCTACACAACGGGGTTAGCCCAGTCCACTGAAAAATGTTGTATGTTGCTGATATAATTGTCGCTGATAAGAAAGATGAATGCATGAATTAAAAAAAGAAGTATAATAAGAATTGCTTCAACAAGGCAACGAAACAACGTTGGAAATGAGGCTATTGTCATTTGTGGGGTTTACGAAATTCTAGAGTATATTGGCCATAGGTAAGGAATGCCGTAAGGAGTAAAACGTTGCTCAATAAAGAAACAATTATCTAATGCTAATACAATAAACGTGTAGCTAAGAAAAGGATAGATGATAAAACTGATGATGGTGCCAACTGCCAACTAACAGAGAGAGAGAGAGATGGGAAATAATTAAAAACGAGTGCATTCATGTGAAGTTTGTGATGAGGAAATGCCAATTGAAATGGTTTAATCGTTTTATCATTTTATCATGTGCATACAAGATTAGAAGCTTAGAGATGTAATTGAGAAGGGACTTCATCAGTAGCTAACAATTTCCTTTTTTTTTTCTGAAAAACAAAAGTAACCAAGAATTTGACTTTAAGGCATGTTCCTTGATGACATAATTGAATGGAGAATCGGGATTTACTTCAAAAAACTGAATCCAACATGATGAAGAGTTGAAATCAGCCCTCCATAAGATAATTTCCCACAATGTTATACAGTATATATCTGCCGTGTATTGGAAACATCTCCCGATGATGCTTCATCATTTTTTATATTATTATCGGAAGATGTTCTTAATACATGGCAAGGATGTATTGTGGGATGTTGGGGGAAAACCCTACATCTTTAGTCCGTTTCACGGTGGACCTGACAAATTTATATCTGACCCGAGCTAAGAGGCAAGGGGCTCTGTAGATCTCAATTTTTTTATTTTTTTTATTCACTTATCCTGCTCGTTCATTGGTTATATCTTATATGGTAGGTGGCTCGTTATATGTGTGATCTCATGTTCATATGCAAGTAAAGGTCCACACACGTGTAACGTGAGTGCAGATGACCACAAATACTTGGGAGTTTGGATCTTTTGAAAACAAAAATCGGGTGGTCTGTACACACTCTGAAGTCATGGTATTCAGTTGTACATTGGAAATATCTCCCAAGCTTATATGTTATATGTTAAAAGGGATTGTAGTTGATAAGGGCAACTTTTAGGCCCTAATATCAATAAAAATAACTTTTTAATATAATTATTAAAATAGGTCGACTTTTTTTAAAAAATATCAAATAGGGGTAGAAATATTGTTCATCTCCTTCTCCCCCAAGATTAATAAATATTGATCATAGATCTCTAATTTTTTGTTTACCCTTGTTTTTGCTGGTTTGCTGCAAGCAAAAATGGCAAAGACCACTCTCGCGCTTTTGCATTTTGTTATGTGTATCTCTCTTCTCCACTTGGCATACTCATATACTTCATCAATTCCGATTTTCAGGCTTTAATGGCATTCAAAACTGCTTTATATACCTCTAGCATGCTTAGTAGATGGAACCAAAACACCAATTCGTGTACTTGGCATGATGTTCATGTATTCTTCTAACTGCTTCAGAAGAATAACTCATAGCAGTTATGTTTTGAGTTTAGAACAACTCGGATGCAAAGAAGAAGAAGA